TTCAGCTAACAAGCTAAGTCTAAAAATGATCCACTAACCACCTGAAACTCACCCAAGGCCCCTGGGACCTCAACCAAATATACCATCAAGTCCCAAAACATCATACGAACTTAGTCGAACCATCAAATCACCTCAAACAACATCAAAAACACAAATTGCCCTTGAATTCAAGCCTAATGAACTTTGAAATTTCCAAATTCTACAAACGACGTCGAACCTATCAAATCACGTCCAATTGACCTTAAATTTTGCACACAAGTCACGAATGACACCACGGACATACTTCAACTTCCGAAAATCTAATTCGACCCCGATATCAAAAAGTCCACTCCCGGTCAAACTTTTCAAAATTTCATCTTTCGCCATTTCAAGTTTAATTCTACTACGGAGCTCCAAATCATAATACGGACATGCTCCTAAGTCTAAAATTACCTAACGGAGCTAACGGAATCATCAAAACTCCATTTCAGAGTCGTCTACACATAAGTCAACATCCGGCCAACTTTTCCTACTTAAGCCTTCAATTATGGGACTAAGTATCTCAATTCACTCTGAAATCACTCCGGACCCGAATCAACCAACCAGGTAAGTCATATAACAACTATAAAGCACATAAGGAGCAGAAAATAGGGGAACGGAGCTACAACTCTCGGAACGATCGGCCGGATCGTTACAAGATAATCATGTGATTACAGAGGGATGGATACAAATCCATGTGCCATAGAACATTATAGCTCCATAAGCAATCATCTATCTCCACGGGACAATCCATCATGACATAATTATATCGACTATACGGAATAAACCATCGAGTCATAATCATATCAACCGCATGGAATAAACTATTACTACTAGAAACTCGGCAAAAACCAGCCACGATCGACAATCGACTTCGGTCGGTCAAAAACTCAACTGAAAAATCGACCGAAGCTGGTCGATTTTTCAAAATATTTTCATTTTCAACATTTTTTTTACAAAATCGGCCGAATTCGGTCGTTTTTTTATTACGTCAAAATGCGGGAAACTATTTTTACTTACCAAAAAATTTATTTTTCAAGAAACCAACCAACTTTAATCGATCTTTTATTTAAAATAAATTACAATTAATATTCAAAATATTGATTGAGATTAGTCGATTTTTTCGGTCGGTCATTTTATAAAGACGGCTGATTTTGGTCAATAATTTTATTTTATTTTTATAAAATCGGCCAAAATTGGTCAATTGTTTTTACGCAAAAATGCATTAAAAAGTATAAATAAAATAAAAGAAAGTATTAAACCAAAAGACACCAATGATCTAATAGAAGAATAAATATCCTACCACAATCTAGACCCCGATTCGATTTTCAGATGATGCATTTTTTAAATATATAATTTAGAAAAATTGACCGACTTCGGTCGATTAAACGGTTTTAATCGACTGAAGTCGGTCAGTTTTTGTTTTTGGTCGGTTAGGGAATTCATCGGTCGGTTGGCTCTATCGATTTCACGATTACCGATCGCCACAAATCAATCAGTTTCCTGCCTATATTTGTCAATTACCGACCAACGACAGTCGGTTTTTGCCCCATTTTTAGTAGTGCATTGTGCCACAATTATATCAACCATAAAAATCACACAAGGGTCATAATAATATCAACCAAACGGACCAAACAAGAGTTATAATGATATCAATTGCACAAAATGCCACATCGTGCCATAATCATCTCAACCATATAGAATGTCTCACCACGCCATTACATCAGGCCATATAAGAGAACCATATGCAGGAATATATGCATATATACAGTAGATAAATATATATAATACATATAAACAAGAGCGACAAACATGAGGGATATATGCATGTGCGCAATATATGACTACGACTACAACATGTAGTTCAATATATAAATAGTTTGTCATGTGTAAATAAGGTGTCAAAAGCCTAAATATAATCTTTAACATGAATAGGAAAGCTCAAGTAGTCATACAAATAAATAAAGTATATGACAAGTAGAACATGTATTAAAACGAGGCATGAAAAAGCCTAGAATTCTACCTCAATGATGAAAAACTTTGGTATCCATGTATACGTTTGTCACCTTGTATATATATCACCTTCAAACATGTAATATGTAACTTATAAGTCCATTTTAGAGAAAATTTTCTTAAGACAAAGTTAGCCTGAATATTTACCTTATCCAAAAATAAGCTTCAACTTTCAAGAACGCCTTTTTCCTTTCTCTATGGCGGCCGAACATTCACAATTTTGCCAAATAATACTCAACAAGGTCAAATAATACTTTAGGAAACAATCTCACATGAAAAAGATTATATCTTTATCAAAATCTCAAAAGTCAATAAAAATCAACCCGGGGCCACATGGTCAAAACTCATACTAAGATCAAATCTCGATGACTCATAATTTTTCGAGTCCAAATATGTGATTTATTTTCAAATTCTTAGTCCAAATCGGTATGTAAAACCTCAAAATTTATTTCCTTAAATTTTGGTTCAAAATTACTCTTCCCTCTTTGAAATCCTTAATTCTAAAAAAAATTAAAGATATATTCATGTAATAAGCATAGATTAATGTAGAATCACTTACCCTACGAAGTTGATAAAACTTTCTCTAAAAATTACGTTAATCCGAGCTCTCTAGCTCCCAAAATAGTAAACTATACTCTATAAAATGAGGCTATTTATACAAGTGCTAAAAGTGGCTAAAATTATTTTAAAAAATGACTAAAATGGCTGGTATTGCAATTTTATTACTGGTTTTGTTAGTTTTTCCTTAAAACCATCCTCAAACATCCTAAAATTCACCCGAGCCATCTGGAACCCCTTTAAACCATCCCAACAAGTCCAAATACCCAGTATGAACTTATCGAAGGGCTCAAAACACATAAAGAAACATCACAACAAAGAATCAAGGTGCAAATCAACTTAAGAATTTTAAGAAACCTTCAAGTTTTAACTTTCTCACAATAGTTCCGAAACACACTCGAGCCCCTCGGGTGCTAAAGTAAACATATGTACAAGTCCAAAATCATCATATGAACCTATATGAACCTTGAAATCATGAATCTAAGCCCATTTACTCAAAATATTAACTTTCGTCAACTTTAAGCATTTTAAGCTTCTAGTTCAAATTCAAGTGTTCCAAAATGCTCCCGAATTTCTTGAGTCTCGTGCTATCCATATCCGCACGTCATAAATCACAATTTAACCTACAAAAAGTCTCAAATAAAAAAACACAATTCTAAAACTAAAAATAACCGACTGTATCGCTCCACTCACTGCTTTTAGCAACTACCTTTGTGTATCATATTCATTCTTATTATTGGTTAATCTAATGTTTGGCTCACATATTATGTTGTTGGTAGAAAATTTGTACAAAGTGGATCAGTTAAGGCCGTATTTAAGTTTTGTCCCATCCAAAATAAAGTAAAAATTGGATGAGGTGCCCTATTTGGTTGCCCTCATTTAATCTATACCTATTTTTTTTTTAAAATTTAACTTGTACCCACTTTTTAAACAACTTTAACCCATTTCTTCTCCTCCTCCTTCTCCTCCTTCTCCTCCTCAAAATTTTATCTTTTGTTTTTCCAGAAGTAAGGTTCATCCCTATCTGCTTCTTCTTATTTCTCCTTTCAATCATTTTTTCCTTTTCGCCGACACCTCAACTGTAAAAGTTCCATCTTGGTTTTGCAACTTGAATCTTATGCACAATTTTGATGTGAAAATGGGACAAGAGAAATTAATTATTAATTTTATATTGTTGTTTGGTGAATTGGGTCTGGCGGAAATTGGAGATTTCAGTTGTCGACTGGATTGGTAATGTGTTGATGTTTCTTGGTTCCTGTTAATGTTGCTTTAAGTTACTTCGTGTGGGTACAACATGCCCCCTAGAGCTCTAGAGCTGAAGTTCGTCATTTACAAACAAAAACTTCAGCTCTAGAGCTGAAGTTCGACAATTACAAAACAAAAACTTCAGATCTAGAGTCGAAGTTCGCCAGTTACAAAATAAGAACTTCAGCTTTAGAGCTTTAGAGCTGAAGTTCGCCAGTTACAAAAACAAAAATTTCAGTAAATAGAGAACAAAACTTCAGCTACTATGCTTAAGTTCAGCAATTACAAACAAAAATTTCAGCACATTTGGTTCAACACTTCAGTCCCGTCTACTAGAATGCTGCAGTTTTGCGTGATTGTCTTTGCTACTTCAGCCCCATATGCTGAAGTTACGCCAAAAAGTGGGTACGCTTGCAAATTTTTTTTGCAAAGCGAGCACAAGTTAAAACGTGACCCAAAAAGTGAGTATAAATACAAATACCCCTAAAATAAATTGTGCAAAAATAGTCTTGGCTCTACAAATTGGGAAGAATGAAAAATAATGCTTTCACAAAATATGCTGGCGGGGCATAACTTTAGTCAAATCTTCATTCTACCTATCTTGTTAAATTATTTACATGTTTAATGGATTGGTAAAAATTGCGGCGTTCACAAATTATTCCAGTAGAGCATAACTTTAACACAATTTTTATTTTTATATCTTGGTAAATTGTTCGCAACCCGCCTCGATATCCAATTTATCACAAGTCTTGTCGGACCTCGGCTGACTTGATACTATATTCTTATACCTATATTGTTAAATTGTTCACAAATTTTACCGGATTGACAAATTGCATGTGCAATTCAATTGTTTACCAGTTATGCCCGAGAGATCATTTTTCTTTACAACTCTCAACTCTTAACTTCATGATCATATCACAACTCTAACCAACAATTAGATATTATTATCAATCTTTAATGCTAAATGTCTTATCAAACACCATCTGTTTTGCCAAAAAGATATTTTTTAATCGACAATCAAGCACCAGAAACCAATTATTTTTAAAAAAAGAAACATATTTTACAGAAAATTACTAATTTTCCTGAAATTGTTTTCCAGATCATACCAAATACACAACAAGAAGATGCTTGAACGTACAAAGTTGCCAGACTGGTGAACACGAAAATAGCCAGGAAAACCAAGTTCCAAAACACTTGATATAAATTCATACATATCAGAACTCAGCAGCATGCCAATTACCCCAATACAGTACTCGTCAAATCATCATGTGTTAATCTCTGCATGTAACTCATCACAATCCAAATAACAGGCAGACATTAATTTCATAATGCAAGTTTCAAATGAACATCAATGTTGGCTGTCGAGGGAAGGAGAAAAAATTTAATTTGGTGATGTGCTACATAACAGGATCAACAATCATTTCTAAGAAGTAAACCAGGTAGCCAGAAAAGAGAAATCACAAAAGTGTCCACATAAAGAGAAGTAGAGCCAACGCCATCCTTGTATAGCCAAGTTGTCGTTCTGCACCTCCGTAGTATGGCTCTATCATGAGCCCATACCGGCAAGTACCAGTTGATGGATCTGACTTTGTGACAGTTCCAAGCCCTTGGAACTTGCAAGCATCGTCAAGCTGATTGTTTATCTGGTAGTAGCTGTTGAACGCATATGAAATATTTCCACGTGCATCCAAACCTCCACAAGATGTTCCATACCCGAGACTCGTGCAGTCAGCAAGTCCACAAGCATAGCTCATGCTAGGCGCAATCTGGGGATCATCCACCTTAGCATTGGGTTTGAACACACACCACTTCCTCTCCAAATATTTCACATTTTTAGCTTGAACTAAAGCCCCTGAATTTGTAGTGCCAAGATTTAGCGAGTATTTGGGTAGGCCATCATATGTAAATATTCCCCAGTGACGTTCAAAATTTCCAGGTTGAATGCTCTTAGCATCCTCATCAATTAAACTAAAAAGATAGGCATCAACAGGCCCAGGCCTCATAGGGGTGCCTTTTCCTTCTGATATATGCTGCATGAATCCTTGGTTGAATCGCTGTGCAAGTTGTGCGTTAGCATTGCGGTCACCATCAGTGGGCCAACCAATTTCTCCGATTATTATAGGGACGTTCCCAAACCCATTCTTCTGTAAAGCCCACACAAGAGTATCGTGATTTGCATCAAACATGTTGGTGTAGGTTGTCCCACCATCATTTAGAGGTGTTGCATTTCCATCAAAGAAGGCATATTCAACTGGAAAGTTGGGGTCATTATAAAGGCTTATGAATGGATAGATATTGATAGTAAAGGGACAACCATTGTCGCTTAAGAACTTGACAAGTTGGCTCACAAAGCCATGGATAGCAGCTCGAAAATCACCACCTGATGGCAAGCCACTGGAGCTCTCATAAACATCAGCATTGAGGGGGCAAGTAACCTTTACTTTATTACCGAGGCCAGCTTTTACGAGTGCAGTTTGGACATTTTGCATAGCAGGAAGAGTTGTTCGAAGGTAAGTTCCATTGTAGGTTGTCAAGTAAGGTTCATTTCCAACTGCAACATACCTACAACAAAGTCAAAAGCTATGTGTAAACATTCAAGCCTAGTTTACTAAATGAACGACATTTAACATTTACTCGGTTAATGAAGCTTATTCTTATCAGGCTCCTGATAACAGACAAACATACAGAAGAATATAGAGCAAAAAGGCAGAGAAAGAACATGAAGACAGAAAAATAATCAAATTGGCTAAAATAAGTTCAACGCGATCGTAGTAACAAACTCAGCTCAGATGATTCAAACAAGGTAAGACTACTTTGGACATGAAACGATGCATAACGCGCAAAAATGAATGCAGGGAACACTCAAATTGACAAAGATAGTTATAGCTGCACATCTGATGTTTTCGCTGATGGGTAATACTGCCCCATCAAACAAATACAAAAGAATGACATTGCAGAAATGACAAAAAACGAATCACGTTATAGATCTGACAGATCACTAGGTCATGTTAGAGCAGCAAAATCAAGCTGGATTATTCTTTCAACTACCAACTAGAAAATCTGATAGGGAATGCTGATTCGCTTCACAGTGGTGGATAACTGGTAAAAACTAGAGTTATGGACCATTGTTACTCGTGCACATTGCAAACAGCTAAGTTGCGCGGACTCTTCAGTTTTGGTACCGCCCCCGTCCCGATACGAGACGGGAGCGGGATACGTCCCGGATTCGGTCAACTGACTTCGGACACTTTGACCGGAGTCCATCGACAAATTTGGGAGAAAAATTGAGATTTTGATTTCTCAAAATCAAAAACAAAACAAATTTAGGAGAATGAAAGGATAATGTCCATCTTGGAGAATGAAAGATTGAATTTGTATAATATTCATGTAAGTTTTTCACAGAATATCTCTCAAAATTTACAATATTTTTATAGCTCTATTTTTTATTAGCCGAATCCCCGCACCAGTATCCATATCCGGATCCGCACCCCCAAATCTTAAAATTTAGATTTTGCCGAATCCGATACTCGGATCCGTCCCCATATCGGATACCCGCACCCGAGTCCGAGCAACTTAAGCGAATAGCACATCATGAAGTGATGTGCAGACCCCTCCTTATGCCATTTGATCATGGACTGAACAACAGAGTGTTTATAAGATAGCATAAATTGAAAATGATTAGAACCTTAGCGACAACACTCGATGCAGTGTGGTAGAAAACTGAGTAAGAGGGTCAACTCCTGCTGGGAATAGAAAACCTTAAGTTTTCTCATTGTGAGTTGAGGTCAACCCTGCTGGGTACAAAAATTTCATGTATTCTCATTGTGAGAAAGGTCACGTCTACAGCAAGCGGATCAGGCATTGACATTGCCCATCATGTTTGAACCCCAAAAGCAACGCTTGATTGACATTTCATTCCACATTACAACCAAACTGTTGGTTTTTTAAAAGATGGGGCAGTAAAAATATTAAAAATATTGATTGAAAATGTCTCTACTTTTTTATTAAACATAGAGGGATTTAAATAGCCAACTTGAGAACATAATCTGCAGAAAAATCTGCATAAGAAGAATTTAAAAAACCCAAAATATCTCAACAAACCTAAAAATGCTAACAGAAATTTAAATTCAAAAAAGTAGATTTATCCTAAAACTAAATAACTTATTATACTAAAAAATTTACTGTAGTAACAGAAAGCAATAAAATTTCAACACTCCTCCTTTGCTTCAATTGCTGCAATTTAAAAAGTTGCTCCTCAATTCTTGCTTCTGTTATTTGTCCTTGAGGATTGTTTTGAGCATCACTGAAATTGCACACATTTGTAGTGTAGTTCTTTTTCTTCTTTTCTTCTTTTTTTTCGTCTTATAGTTTTGTGCATAAAAAACACCCTTAGTGACCTTGTCCTATCTAAAATCTCTTTTGAAAGTATTTGATTCTGGACAATGATAGGATTTTCAGGGATTGCTCGTAAGGATTTTTCTTCCATTACAACATTCAATAAATCATAGGTTTTAAGATATGATTTTGTTTTTACTGAGCAAATCCGATAGTTATCGCTAGTGAAAGTTAGTGGGGCATTCAAAGAGAGACTATTGCATGTCATGTTTGAAAATGGGTTTTAAAAATTGATATTGGCTAAAAATGATTTGAAAATGGTTCTTTGGAAGAACTCACAGATCCCGTAAGACCAATGAAGCTCTGATACCACTGTTGGTTTTTTAAAGATGGGGCAGCAAAAATATTAAAAATATTGATTGAAGATGTACTTTTTTATTCAACATAGAGGGCTTTAAATATACTGATAGTTGATTTATTATGAAGCTGTATAGTTCATTTTCGATACCAAATATGTTTTGCAACATGATAGATGCATGTCTGCATATGAATGACAATGACTGAAGTATGTCAGGTATACTATATGTCTTTTATTATGTATGAGAGAATAACATATGAGAGTGTTATACTATAGTTTCATGATAAAGTTGTGATATACTGAATCATGTGTGCACTTTGTGCCTGAGATCAACCCCAAGACTAAGGCTGAGCAACTAGCTGCTGCAGGATTGGACATGTATCTATCTCACCACGCTCCCCTATTCCTATAAAGGCCAGCGGAAGGAATGCTCTACTCATTTTTCTACGGCTCCTTCTAGTTCACCCTTCGACTCTTTCCATTCAAAGAAAAGGTGTGTGTCCTAGGTAAATAGCTCTTTTAATGTTTTGAAAAGGGGATGTTTGCTTTTTGTAATGATAGACCCACGATAGACGGGTCCCTAAGCTTGCTTAAAATTTTCATTTTGGACACTTAATCAAGGGGCCCAACTTATTAAACACCTTATGTCATTGAAAATGTGCATATTGAACACATATCTAACAAGTCTAAGCAAACTAAAGAGCATGAATGTTAATCATCATTGATATGGCAAATAAAAACCAATGGAAAAATGACACATCAACAAAGAAAAAAGAAAAGTCAAAATCCGAAAAGTAAACAGAGAGAGGGGAGGAGTTGACCAGGAAAGAAATTCCGGCAAAGCTTCATTTTTCAAGCAACATTGCTTTTTTCCAACAAGGATGAGTTGCCAATTTTTCTGGCACGGAGTCTTTTATTTTGAAAAAGGAAGAGGAGCAAGGGGTGGCCTAATGAATCTAGAGAAGAAGAGGAGATGAAAAAAATGGCCGGAAATCAACTCTTCCGGCAAAAACTCCATTTTGTTTTCGGGTAAAACACACTAAGTTTTGGGGGAAGATACCCAATTAGCCATGTCATCAAAGCGTGTTCAGCAGGCACATTCTCAACCACATAAGGTGTAAATAGGTTGGATCTGACAGTCTAGATGAATCAGGGGTCGTCTATATATTCTGCCTCCTATTTATTTTGATAAGACTTCTGCTACAACTATAAGATACTTTGAAATGGATTCATCGCTCACAGCGTCGACTAGCCTGATTTCATAGTCACTTATTCCTTTCGAATTTATAGATCTACCATCTTAGAATGTTACGCACGCTAATACTCACCCAAAAACTTTGAAAGATGGTTGCTAATTGCTGGTCATGTCCATAATAATGTTCATATATCAACATACATAAGAACTCTAGTGTACCAACAGCTTTCCTCAAGAAAATTTCGGTCGTGTCCACTTACCTTCAAGTCTTAGTCCATTTTGCCCATCAATTATTAACTACACGACTAGGACAGAATGCAATATTCTCAATCCCAGCGATCCCACGATATCTAACCTATTAAAACCAAGATAATTCACTATTTCTAGAACCTAATGATGGCTTTACTTTGCATGCAATCCTTCTTATATTCTTGCATAAGCTTGTTTCGGTTCCTGAAGTTTCAGAATGTGCTTATGCTTAAGGTTAGGGTACACACAAAAATTTCAAACTGCTAAGAAACTTATATAATGCCAATTCAACAGCTGATACTAGAAAGAATCAACTAATTTGGATCCCTGTGAAGGAGAAGCATTCTTAACTGGGCACTTGCTATGTAATAAATAGGTGATGTCATATCACAAGAACCTCATACCGTTCAAGTAGTCAACAATGTTACGGGTGTAACGAACTGAAAAAAGGAAAAGTGAAAATTCCATAGACAAAATTCACAACACTTCTTTTTTATTATTGTTGAAGAAAATTCACCACACAACTTTGGAGTCTTGTACTTTCTTTGTTCAACATTACAAGGTGATGCTTAGGACGGCAATAGAGACAAATCACTAAAGGGCAGCCCGTTGCACTAAATTTCCGCCATGCGCGAGATCCGGTGAAGGACCGGAGGACCACAAGGGTCTATTGCAGAGGCGGATCTAGGATTTAGATGTTGTGGGTGCCATATTACTTTGAACATATACATGTTCTTATTTATACAGTCTAAATATAGTATATTTATATGGTCCAAATAGAGTAAATATTTAGTCTGTTTGATTAGTTATGTGCTTCTGCTCAAATTATTTGTCTTTCAATTTATACGGACAAATTAATTAAACAAAAAAAAAATGTACTAATTATGACAGCTTGACGCAATAAGGGGTTTCGTTCTAATGGAGAGAAGATTCTCGGAAGAAGAATTATATATATATATATATAAAATGTTGGTGGAATTTTTTATCCTTTAAAATAAATTTTATATTGATAAAATTATCATCAATTTTTTTTAATATTTAGAACTTTAAGATTAACTAAAAGTATAGTTATTAAATCTTTTTTTTTATTTGAGTAGAAAGTCCTAAACTTTAAGTTCCAATAAGCTTATATAAATAATTTTCTTATTTAAACTATGTAACATAATTATAGTACCTTTTATGGTAATTTTCCTAATATTTATATTAATTCTAAGAGAATATAATATAAATTGATAATAACGATCATGAACTACCGTGATACTCCGACTAATAAATATGAAGGAATCCTTATTAACTCAAATTAAAATTAAACAAAGAAAGGAAACAGTGAAGTGTAGTTTAGGTTACTTTCGTAATTGTAGTCAAATTGTTGTCTATCTGAAGCAAGAAAGCCAAAACATCACAAAATTGTCACAAGGCCAGTTCGATCCCTCGCCTTTAGGATGACATGGTGATCTTCTACCACTGGTTTGTTGCTCCGGGTGGCAACCCTTTTATTTAACGGATTTCGGGGATATAAATACATATATACATATAATTTCTACCGAAGCTTGCGGGTGGCGTACCACCCCTCGGGCCTTAATAGATCCGCCCCTAGTCTATTGTACACAGCCTTACCCTGAATGTCTGCAAGAGACTGTTTTCACGGCTCGAACCCGTGACCTCAGCAACTTTCCCAGTTATGCCAAGGCTCCCTGGCCCTTCGATAGAGACAAACCACTATTTGGAAGAAAAGAAAGACCGCTAGAAGAACAAAGACAATTCAAAGAAGTGTGTTTTTAGGCACATTTGATTAAGTAAGAGGAATATGAAATTATCGCATACCAGTGAGATGATATACTATAAAAATCTTGTTTCATATATTCTTTTCGGTGTAAAGAGAGGAAACCAGTGTGTATAGATAATGAAGATAACTTCATTAATGATATGATGTTGAAAATCAGTACTTTTCATACCACAGTGTTGAAGCAAAAACACATCTCAAAAGGCAAAAGGGAAGAGAGCATTTAGATAAAACTAAAAAAGAAGAAATCTTTCACCTGATGTTGACATTGTTATTAGAGATGTGGACAGAAACATTTTTAGAAACCCATTTCTCAGCAGCTTTCAAGCTAGCCAAAGTGGAAAGCAAATCATTAGGAATACCAACCATAACTTCAAGTTCAGGACCAGCTTTCCCTAAAGCTTTAAGTGTGTCATAATCTGCATCAAATAGCTTAACTTTCCGGATCCCATTTTCTCTTAGCATTCTCACTACTATTTCAGGAGGCAAACGGTGTGTTGATTGAGTTCCCCAATTAGCTCCTATACCACTCACTGGAGAAACCAATACAAGAAATAACACCACCCCAAATGATTTTGACCATGGAAATAACCCCATTTTAGACTTCTTTCCTTTCTATTCACTAAACTAATTAAGGTTAATAGAGTTTTGTTCTATATTCCAAACTGAGCTGTAAGCTACCAAAAACAGTTGATTCTTGTCTTCAAAATCTGAACTTGGACAGCAATGAAAGATTCTTGTTTACAGCTCAAAAAAAGA